TGGCCCCAGAGCAAGCATACAGTGCTTTAACTGATTTGAATTTATGCACAGTGATTCGTGTTAGAGGCAGAAAATAGAGCCTATATCATGGAAATATTGTGGTCAGTGCTTTGCTTTCTCAAGACTAAACTCTTATTAGGTTGGGAACACTGAGAAAGTGATTCTCCTCACCCACAGCCAGCTCAGTGCTTCACACATCTTGTTCAATGCCTGTAGCTGTTTCGAAGGCCGGACTTTGTGTGGAATTAATTAATGTGCATGAGCGGTTTTGGCATCTGTTTCTCATCCACTAATTTGAGCAATGTCTGATAACTGCTTCTCCCAATGAAGGCCTATTTATGTCTGTGCATTTACTGTTTTATCACATCCAGTTTCTATCTCTAACTCTTAGTCTTTGTTCTGTAGGGCATATTTATTGTTTGTTATCACGGTACCTGTCTTTGCAAGTATTGATATTGTAGAAGGCTGGAATATGCAAAAAAGTGTCATAGGCATCTTCGCCATTCATAGTTCCAGACGAATGTTTCTGTGCGTGCTGTGATGAATAAAGGTGTTCATGTAATATACAATCAGTTATTTGGGTCAAAATAAGACCTTTAACCATGTCACAATATTAACTGACCAATGCATTTTAATAGAATTGTTTTAAGCTTCAGTATCAAGTTCAAGAGCACGTCAGACTGGTTTACTTCAATTTATTTTGCTTGGATAGAACAAAAGAGAGATCATTGTTCATTTAGGATGCAAAATCATATAGTACTAGTGCATTAGAAAATATAAAATTATATTTTTGGCTTCCTTCAAGGTTCTCAGATTGTAATAATAATTATGGCATAGCTGTACTACAGATATCATACTCATTTAACCACAGCATGATATTATTATAAGGATATGTTGTCTAAATGTTGTTTAAATCTTGGTCATATTATTAGAAGTAGGACCCATGTAGTGGAAGCTTTTCATCTTTAGCTGAAATTTGGTTACAACTGTAGGAGAGACTCATGAGAGAGAATGAGAGAGAGAGAGAAATCTGGTAAAATCTCTTGTGCAGAAGCAGACAGAAGATTCCCTGAGGGCCATTAAACACACTGCCATCTAGTGTTGCACAGCTTTACTACAGTTTTATTGAAAGAATCAGAACAGAAACAACTTCCTCTCAAGGGCTAATAATGTTGTAAGTTAGAAAAATCAGTTTTTGTCCTCTTTCAATCTGTATGTGCATTAATATGCAAACACATTTTTCCAGTCCATAATGAACTTTTGTGAAGCGTGGTTCCTGCTTTTGTTCTTATTTTGCTTGACAGGCCAAACATTTTAATAGGACAGAAGGGGTCAGTGCCTTTGGGGCTGTCATGTCCTTTAAGAAAGAATACATTCATGCAAACTAACATGGATTTGCTTGTATGTCATCTTTGCTGCATTTGTATGGCCACTAAATTAGCATATGCATCACCACGAATAGGGAGGGAGTGATATGAGTAGCCTGCTATTGTGTTAAGGTTGAGTTAAAGTTGAAACTGCTTTACTAACCTGCTTCTTGTCTTGCTGGAGGCTGTAAGTTTACTTCACTATGACAAGTGAATCGCACTAATCACATGTATGCACACACGCACACGGTCACTGCCATGGACGCTGGTGCTGGCAGGCACTGTGGCGAATGCTAATTTAACAAGCTATTTGCCTTAATTAAAATGTAATCTCTTTCTCAGGCCATGTTGTTTTTCTCATTGGCTCCCCTCTCTGTTGCGGTGAATGGCTGGCATGTTTGATTTTAGACTAAAATAGTTGTTCACAGAGCAATTGAGTGAATCATAGTTTGCCAGTAGTTAATGTACTAAAGTAGTAAATGCGGTTATTGTGGCCAACTATGACTATCAGTGAGTATGTTTTTGTATGTTACTAAGTGGCCTCTATTAGCCTTCATTCATTTTTAGCACCAGTAACATTTTTTCAGTTTAGAAAGTTATGAATCAAACGTTTGGCCATTTCAGATTTGATAAATGGTGACTTGAACGGTAGCTGTTATACGTTTTGTCTTTCAAACCTTTTTGTTTTAGTAAAAATACAGTAACCGTATAGAAAATGTCTGTGGTTTTGCATGCATTCATAGTATTTTTGGTACAGTCCCTCTTGAAAAACTTTTAATGATGCTTTGATTTATTTTCTGCAAATAGATTTCTGTCAGTAGTCCTTCAAGTGCCTTCTTGGAACTTGCAGCAGACACTCCCGAACAAGCATTAAATATTAAAGTGGAGCCTTTGAAGACACATTAAAAATGACATGATGTCATCAGAATGAGTAAATGAACAAGATAAACACTTGAGATGTCGTCTCCCAGTCTGTGCATTAAATCTGATGGTTTCGTGGTTGAAAACAGCATTAAGCAGGATTATTAGGCTGAAGTCTTGCTGTTGGGGTTTATCTTGTTTAAATACAAACCACTGAGGAATTTTCTTCTGAAGAGGCAATGTTCACCATAACATTATCATCAGGGTAGTAGAACAACAATTGACATTTCTCCTTCTTAGTGAATCCTTAACTGTTTTTATAACCAAAACTATACGCCATATGAAAACACATTACCCTCCTTGTCCTTTAATTGGACAAGCATTTGAAAGCTATGAATCTTGACAGTGTGTTCCCTGCAGATGCCAGGTGAGGCTCTTATCGCCTGTGTGCTTTTCAGCTTTAAGGAATAGCTTCAAAGAGTGCTGCTTCTTCTCCGAATTTCTTTTTTGCCCTGCATTCTGCATGCTGCAGCTCAGTTGCTTAGGAATAGCACAAACAGTTAGCCTCTACACAGTTTGTGCTAGAAAGCACTACTGTGGACCTGAATGTTGAATTCACAGAGGCACCGGAAGATTCCTGTGTACCACCCCAGCTTGGCAAAAACAGACCATGATGGTGAACCACAGATGAAAACAGATTTAGAGACATTCACTGAGGCTTTGCAGATATGGACGTGCGGGTTGGACTACGACTGTCTGACCATTATAATCTCTTCCTAATATAATCAGCATGACCATGGGTGGCAGATTTCCCAGGACGGGACTTATTTCAGCTGAAAAACACTACGCAAGCAGAATTTAATCTAGAGGTGCCTGTGCTCATTTTAGAACTATTTCATCATTCTCAGACACACATATGTATCTCAAAACTGTTCATTAAGAAGATCTCTAATGATTATTTAATGATTTTTATTTTATGTAGACATCCGTTTGCATGATTCAGAAAGACAGTATCAGGATACGCCTTGTAAATGAGACGATACAATGAAAAGAAACTCTTTTGTGCTAGCTGACCAGAAGAAATGTGCTTCACAAACAACCTACATGTGGTCACTGTAGTTTTTGTTTATACAGTAGTAAGGAGAAGATGTATTGGTATATCAAAGTACGACAAGCCAAAGGGGAATAACTTATTCACTTTTTTTTATGCTAGTCACACTATCAAACGTAAAATACAGTGCTCTCGGTAGCTAAATGAACTGTGACACAGTTTTTTGTTGTTTTGGCTCGTGAGTCTGGAAAATTAGACGAAGCCAGAATATGAAATGCGTCATGAACTCAGTTATGGAAAAAAAAAAGATTATGAAAATAATAAGTGTGTCAGAATCTCAATTATAGAAAAAGGGCACAGTTGTGTCAGAGACTACTATAAAAGAGACTAGTTATAGACAATTTGTGTAAATGCCTCTGGTTAAAATGGATGAGCTGTGTACAAAGAGGGCTCTGATTTCTATGTGGTTTGCCTAATAAACGTAAATATTGTTGAGTTAAATCTGACATTCTGCACTTTTAGCCTCATACTCACTATTTTATTTCAAATCCAATGTGCTGGAGTACAGAGCTAAAAAACAAAAAAAAAGGAGACAAAAACTGCCACTGTCTATTTAAACCAATGTATGTGTTTTCTGTTTTCTGTGAAGGCACTGCACTGCATTCACCACATAATACACTGAATGTTTTATGGCCTGAATGCTCCAGTGATGCTCACATTGATTGAAGGCCAGTTCACCCCATCTCCAGTTTTAATTTATTATTATTGAAGTGTTTTACCATCTCTGACATATCTTGAATTAACTAAATGCATAAATGATAGAATAAAGTACTTGTCTACTTCGAATATTAGGCTATTAGAATATTAGGCTGCAGTGTGGCAATGAAAAGAAACTGAAGCGTTGGATTTGATAGAGCACAGCTGCAGCACAGAGATGACCTGGATGGGAATAGAGCTTAGTTTTAGAGGCTTAGCTTAAAACAAAAGAAAACAGTGGGATGGCCTGGGTTGCTAGTGGTTTACAGAGACTGCAAATTCAGAGGGAGAGTCTTCCCAGGAAATACGAAAAGCATGCAGGCTTTATAAACATATACATTTACTCAGTACAAGAATGTACACCATGAATGTTTTGTCTTATCTTTATTTTGAAATCAAAACATTAATCAGTATTTAATTCAAGTTTTTTTTTTTATTATTTAAAGTCAATCAGAAACCAAAATTAAAGTCAATTAACCAATAATAGCTTGTTTCACACCCCTCCCCCACCTGTCACCAAGCTAAACTGCTGAGCTAGCTCAGAAATGCCGTGTTTTATTCAGAATTATGTCACAATATAGAAGGAAAATGCGCTGATTTCTTCTTCATATTGACTTTAAGTGTTCTGAACTCCCTGAGTCATCCTGCAAAGCGCTTGAATCATTGCACATGATTCAAATGTATCAGTCAAGCGCATATGAATGAAATGTGTAACATCACAATTCTTGCCAGAAGAAGCAAATTGAAAGACAATAATTGTGTACTTGTAGCACATTTCATTCATGTTCAAACAGTGGACACGTTTGAATGATGAATGATGAATAATTTTCTCAGTGTACATCAACTGTCAGTGATGTTCTACAGATTTTACTCACACAGGAAGAAGGTGATTGCAGCAGTTACATGACACTGTACACAGTCCTGGGTTTCTTTCTCATCCCTTTTTTTCTGTCTGTTCTTCACAGTGATATGCAGCTTCCGGGGCTCAGTGTCTCATGGCTTGACTCTAGAGATTGGAGAGACTGTTCAGATCCTGGAAAAGTGTGAGGGTAAGTCACTGTTGCAACAAAATAACCCTGAAAAATGACCTGAAGTCGCCATGAGTTTTTTAGCACTTTTATACAGCGTAAAATGTGGGGAGATGTGGGTATCATTTATTTTATAAAGCACTATTTATAAATACACTATTCACTTTGTAGCGTCCCGTTTTGACATCTCACTTCCTTTTCACTTACTGCTGCAGCCATGTACTTTTCATAAGCTCCGTTAGCTAGCTGCTTATTACTAACCCCCTAAACTCCAAGTATACTTTGGCAGGTCCAGACTTCCCTTCCTCATCTTCACACCTGACATTGGTTTCATAATACTGAATACTTCATAGCAGTTGGTGGATATGTCTTCATATTAATGAATGAAAGTGGTTTAAATATTGCCAGCTGATTCTTGTTAGCCAGCTTTAGATAGCTTTTTGTTTCATTAGCTTGTATTTGTGAAGGTATTCCACTCATCTTTTGGTGCTGCTGATGGCCAGTTACATGCTGAATGTGCTAACATCGATACGTCATTGGTATTTCTGAGACGTGGCTGCATGGGAGATTCTGGACTAGACATGTTAGCCTTCTCAGATAATGAGTCTGATGGCGTGACATTAGCTACGGCCGTCCTCCCCTACCAGAATGATTTGAGCCGAAGCCCACGCTTGGATCTCCCGGGAAAGAGCAGCCGCGCTGACACTGTCAATGAGAGGCGAAGCAGCTTCGACGTGTCTGCGCTAAAGCTCAGATAGAGGTGCGGAGGTGGAAATGCTGCTGGGTACTCAACACGAGTACTGTAGAGCAGATCATTCAGATCATTTAGCCAAACAGCGAGGAAATTGCTGAAAGAGGTTAGAACAGAGGTATTGATTACTCAGGATTATCTGCATTTCTACGCTGTTTGGGTTACATGCTAATGTAATGGTAGAGTTCGACAATAATGGCAGCAGAGCAACCAAAACATATTAAGGTTGAAGTAGGAGTGAGGTGCACAAATACTTTGGCAAGCTGAGATGCTAATGAATCGCTTTATGAAATAGTTTGAGAATCTCACTGAAAAAAAATGACTTAGTGACTTTCTTACTCCAAAACTCAATGCGCAGTCCTCCAAGTAATATATCTCTCCATGTTTTACTGCCCTCTGGGTTTCTGAAAGAGAAGCGGGTTGGTTGCCATATGTCGCTACTTAAAGGTCACTCAAAGAGCATGCTCATTCACGTTCCCTGTCACTGTCCATGGCTTTAGCGTGACATTTGAAGCCTCCAGGAATAGAGATGGCACAGGAATTTGGAGTTAGCTGCCCCATGTTCAGTGATCTGTTGCCTGTTAACTGGGAGAGAAATATGTTTCAATCTGTGAAAGTGCCCTTAGCTCGAGGCAGGGTAGGTGTCTTTTGACTCTAAATTCAAAAGTCTTGATTTCTTTGCTGTGGCTCACGACTGGACACCTCTGTATTCTGCTGTGTTAAGTTGAATGCTCCAATAAGCTGATAATGGAAAGATTAACATATGGCACATTTTCAGGCACTCCTTTTTTACTTTTGCTGTGTCGAAAAATGTGTTGAATTGAGACGTCTACTTATTGTATTGAAATAAATGATGTATATTTGGCTCCGGGATGGTGCACGTATCACATAACATCACAGTTTAATGTAGTTTTCCAGGATTCTTCACAGAAGTGTAATCAGTACCATAGCTCCAGTGTCATGCTTTTTTTCATAACATTAACCCTGGCAATAACAAAAGCTTGTTGGTGTTTAATTATTTGTCTCTCATAGTTAATTAAAATGAGTAGAGAAATTCTATTGAAAGTGCAGAATCTAAACTTTCAGTTGTCACCAGATTGTGAGTAGAAGAGGTATTTTTATCTCTGAATTTTATGAAAATGTATTACATTTTGGCTACAAATGGGAAAAGTGTGCCAAGTGGGAAAGAGTGCAGACTCAAACTTGTCGATACAGAATTATAATTCGAATGTAAATGTAGTTCATTTGGTAAGTAATTATATAACTTTGTAATTATGTAAACACATAATTATGTAGTGTAAACTAATGTAGTGCAAAGCAATAATAATAACTTCAAACGCGTAAGGATTGAAGTGAGTAAAATTCACATACTGGTTTTAACGTCATTGTGCCACGATGGTCTGAATTAGTTTGAAGCAGTGCCACCAGAACTGAGCCGTGTAAAACACAATGAGCAACTGCCACACCCACAAGATTGTTAGATTTAAGTAAATTATTCTTTAAAATAAAGTTTAGAATGCTATAAAAAGTGGTAATTTAATTGGATCTGAAGTTAGCAGAACAAAACACAATCAGATGTTTTCATTGTAGTCCCATATTGTGATGATAAGCGGTGTATGGCTCGACAAATAGAATGTGCTTGCAGGTCAGTGGATAAGCTCTGAATCAGTAGGTGAGATAAGCGTAGGTTTGGCTTCAGGGCATGGAATAATCACAGCTCAGATTCCAGGGGTGAGCAGTTCTCTGAGCGCATTGATTGTTTGCTTGCGGTCCCATGCTTTGGGAGTAATGGATCCTTGTGAAATCGAACCCTTTGAAACCTTCAGACTCTGATCTGTCATTGGCTGGTAGTCTGAAGCAGTGGATGGTTGGCAGATTGGACTGCTCAGGAAGGCAAAGCTGTTTTTTTGCCAATTTCTCTGATGGGAGCTGTGTACACACCCATGAAAATAAATATTGTCACTATCCAGTTATTTACAGACTGCACCATAATACACGTTTTCTCTGGCCTAAGCAATATCCAGTTGGAAAAATCAGTAAAATAATTTTAGCTTTGCAGAAATTATTCTACATTTGTTGGCCTGGAAATTAAGTAAAGCTGAAGTGCTGAGCACTGAAAAGGGGGAAAACAGGAAAAGATCGGGCCATCCCTCAGGTCCAGAAAGTGTGAGAGAACAAGCCACACTTTATGAAAGACATGCTGCCATCGTAACTGCAAATAACAGCCGAGATTTGACAGCCTAACTCCCTCTAGTGAAACCCTGTTGGGAGACAGACGACGCATTTCATCAGCTGTCACTCACGCTAGACTCAGTTGTATGGTTGCCCAATGTCTCCTTCATGGGAGATTCACCACACCATCTACCAGCACTGTGATAATAAATCAAGGTTGTTGCCCATAGCTAGCCTGTGGAACATGCACGATTATTGCTTCGGTTTTTGCAAGCTTTTTTATGACGTGATAGTCAGTGGACATACCTCAGAAGAATACAATATTAAGCAGTAAATAAATGTTTATAAGGACCACCTGATTTTGATCTCATTAGGGAACAACAGATATGAATATTTTGTCTTTATTACTAATTTTAACAAGCCACAAACTTCAGGGAATCCATAAAATCAGTATATTCTTATCAAAAAATAAACAACTAACGGTCATAGATAATAATAATAGTTAATGTTAAGATTCAAGATAAATTCAAGTTTTTCAAATTTTAGTGGTGTTTTGTGTTCAGTTTTACAAGGTCAGCTCACAATATTGTAACAAAGGGGAGCAGCTTGTCACAGCCTCTTTAGCAGGCTGTGTAAAGAGTGGCATAAGAACATGAAACGTTCAAAAATTCTCAGAAATGAGTGATGTTCACATCAGAGTTACTTCAGTACAATGTTGGTGCTTTATCGGTGGGATTATTGGGAACAACGATACATTTATAAAAAGCTTAATGTCTTCTGATTTTATTAAGTCAACCAATATATCAATTAGGACTTTTATATCCATTAGGCTAATTGGCCCTAGCTGACATTCATTTAACAGTGAATTATTCCTCTTAAATCCTGACTAATGCTGGAACCACTGTATATCCAGAAAAGCTCAGTCTAGACTCTGAAGCACATCTATGACATTTGCTAACTCCACAGTTCAAGTAACTAAGCAGATATAGATAGTAGAGCCACCTGATGCTGACTGGCAGCCACTTAATTTTGTAGTTAATCTCTGCCCTGGTCAAAAGCCATGAGGAAAGAGCACTAACATATATGGACTGTAGATGATTAATGCGACAGGTGCTGTGTCCTGTTTGGGACAGATGGCCACAGGTGCGTTCAGTTTAGCCAGCCGGTCATGAATATTTTCTGCTGTTGTCACAGCCAATCGGTAGCAAATGACCACATTAATGCATTAAGTCATCAGAGGAGCGTGGTCGGACCAGCATGACGTTTCAAAGTCAATACAGGAAATCTTTCCTAGTCAAGCGACCTGAATTAGGTCTTCACCTTCTCTCTCTCTCTCTGTTTCTCTCTCTTTCTCTCTCTCTTTCTCCCTCTTTTGTTTACCTTATAACATTACCCAAACCTGATATGACTCTGATCTGCTCTCTAAACCCCTCTGCTGTGTTAGCACTTTGTCTTTTTTCACATTTCAGCGTCAAATTCAGACTATCCCATTATTAATTACTTTAAGTCACATTTAATTACGAATGATTAGGCCTTAGGTAGATGCAGGTTTTTTGACCACTCCTTTAAATGACAAAAGTGATCCTACCATGAGAAACCCCCTCAGTTCTTAGTTATGGTGTATGTTTATAACATTGTCAGTTTTAGTAAGACTACTCAGTCTGAGAGACCAGATGGATTGTTCCATACAAAGGCAGACTCAGACAATGACAATGAGATTGAAATGGAGAAATCGATAAATGAGATTGAACAGAACCATCAACCTATGGCTGAATTAGATTTCGAATGAGTCCTTTAGTCTTTCATACTCGTATGGTATTGGATGAAGCGTGTCTTATGACTCTTGCCAGGGTTGAGATGGAACGGTATAGACTTGAGACAGAGAATAATTAGATTGAACATTGGTATGCTAGCCACTGTAGTCTATTTTATATCACTATATTTCTTACCCTATGAGTCTGTCTCTTACAGGAGAAAAACTGTCACGCCGCTCTTCTCACTTAAAGAGCTCATATCATAGAAATATCACTAAATTTTCCTTGCTTTTCTGAAATAAATGATTTGTTGTCTGAAATAAAAGAGTTTGATGTACTGTGTGAAGTTTCATAATTTACCGTTCACTCCTGAGACCATTTGTATTATGATAACTCTTTTCTGAATTCATGCTGATTATGTGACACCCATGAACACGTACTCATGACTGGCCACTGAGCCTACAGCAGTTTTGCCCACCCTTTCACATGAAAGCCATGTGAAGTGTTCTTGCCGCACATTTTAGCCTAGGCTGCTTTTCAGTCTTTTTCAGGCATAATTTTTGCTACATAAGGCCATACAGATATTTCAAGTAGACTTCAGGAACAAAAAGTTATTCTCTCTTTGTGTTTATTCTGTGAAAAATAAGGAAATATTTTAACTCCAAAAGGCATAAGTTAGTTTGACCCAAAAGGCATAATGATTTAAAAGTTAACACTAATAATGTTATGTTGTAAATTGGGGGTTTAGGCCATTGTTCTCCTGAAAATCTTGCTGTGTTCAACACTGCTCAAATAGATCTCACAGAAAACATCTGTTTTCTTTACAGTAGATCTTGGAAGTATTGTATATTTGTTGGCTCAGATATCTCGCCTCTGTATGTGGTAGACATCTTGTGTCGCTGGCTCTAGATGTCATCTGTACGATCTAAGCAGCCATCTGGTGGCTCTCACTATATGAGCTACTGCTTAAGTGTCTTGAATACGAGTCATATGGAAGGCTCAGGCAGCTTTTCCCTGCTCGTACTGAACAAGGTTGGCCGTGTGGTCGGCTTATAGGATCTGTGGATATACAGTCTTGTGCGCTGACATTTATCATTTTTATGTAAGACCCTTAAAGTCTGACTTATTCCACATTTTGATCCTATTTATTTGTATTACCTGCACAGAAAACAGCTGCGTCGATATGGCAGTATGCATTGGCCATTGGCTTGCAGGCAAGGTCTTTCAGTGAAACATGACATACGGTTCAAAATATGGAGAGGGATGTCCATGATTGCCTTCATGTGTTCCACGTGGCCAAAGGCTGTTTCTTTCTGTTTTGGTCCATCTCTCTGTCAGTTTTGTCTGTGTCCATTCCTCTGTCAGTTCGTCATCCATATCCATCAGACTCTTCACTCCTCCATTCCTTTTCTCTGGTATAACTTGTTCTGGTATGCCTAATATTAAGAAGCATTTGGGAAGCAAATCTAGCCCTATTACTAAGTTCAAATGAAACCTACACATGTTGTGTGCACTACTGCTTAACCTAGGCAAAACTTGTGGCAAGAAATGACTCACTTCGTACAGGCATGGATGAGAAATTAAATCCCACATCTTATCAGTGCTCCAAATTAGTAAACAAACCTTTACAAAAAGTATTCCTTAAATTCTACTCTTTAGCTTTCTGCTGAGGTTGAACTTGATTTGGTTATTGAGACAGTAATGTTTCATGCACCCACTCTCTTTTTCTCACATCTTGTCTTTTTTTTTGTTTTAAATTGAGATACAGCAAATCAAATAAACTGGTGCATGTTTTTCAAGGCTCCTGCTAATCTACAGTGCATCTTGATGATGTAGCAGTGTTGCATTACTGTGAGCAAAGTGGAAAAAAAGCTTATCATCTGTCAGCAGCTTAAAATGAGGTGTAACAGAAAAACACTGAGTTGTATTCAAAGCTGAGAACTTTAGATTGCAAATTGCAAGACCCTCTTGTAGCTTAAGATGATGCCTGTATTTAACAGGTAAATGTTCTTAGGGATTTGATGTTAGATGTAGTTTGAAAGCCCTAAAGCGGCTTCAGCTATTGCTAATCAGTTTTGTTTTCATTATTCTTAGTTCTTTGTAGAATTAAAAAGGTTTGGAATCGTCCAGGAAATGGAAATACTAGGATTAATTTAAAGATCTTTAGTGTCCTCCTGTATGTCCCTGTGAGTTTAATCAAATCAATACTTCTTGACTTTTTGAGCTGAATTTCCATGTGAGAGGACAAGAGAGAGAGAGAGAGAGAGAGAGAGAGAGAGAGAGAGAGAGAGAGAGAGGGAGAGATAGAGAGGCAATTTTAAAATAATTTTAAAATATACTGTTTCATATTTTAGTTCCTAGTTCTATTCTTAGTTACGGTGTAAACATTATTATTGTTATTATTATTATTAGTAGTAGTATTAATATTAGTATTGAATTAGTATTAGTAATATTAGTATGAACAATAACAATAACAATAATAATAACATTATTTATTTTCTTCAGTTATTTTGAGGTTGTGTCTTAAAGTGTTGAATGCTGTTGGTTAACTAAATGCATTTTATCTTTCTGTTTCAGGATGGTTCCGAGGGTTCTCCACCAAAAAACCTACTGTCAAGGTAAACACAGTAATATTCCACCTCCTAATCTGAGAATGAATTTAATTCCTTTTGTGACTCCAGAGGGCTTATTAGGATCATTACATTCAAATCTTCAAAGCTATATATTTCTACACTGGCATAAAATGAATCACAAATGTGTTTATATAATGTAAGTACATCGATCAGGCATAACATTAAAACCACCTCCTTGTTTCGAAGCTCATTGTCCATTTTATCAGCTACACTTACTATATAGGTGCACTTTGTAGTTCTACAATTACAGACTGTAGTCCATCTGTTTCTCTGCATACTTTGTTAGCCCCCTTTAACCCTGTTCTTCAGTGGTCAGGACCCCCATGGACCCTCACAGAGCAGGTACTATTTGGGTGGTGGATCATTCTCAGTACTGCAGTAACACTGATGTGGTGGTGGTGTGTTAGTCTGGTCTGAGTGGATCAGACACAGCAGTGCTGCTGGAGTTTTTAAACACTGTGTCCACTCACTGTCCACTCTATTAGACACTCCTACCTTGTCAGTCCACCTTGTAGATGTAAAGTCAGAGACGATAGCTCATCTGCTGCTACACAGTTTGTGTTGGTCATCCTCTAGTCCTTCATCAGTGGTCACAGGATGCTGCCCACAGGATGCTGTTGGCTGGATATTTTGGGTTGGTGCACTATTCTCAGACCAGCAGTGACACTGAGGTGTTTAAAAACTCCAGCAGCACTGCTGTGTCTGATCCACTCATACCAGCACAACACACACTAATACACCACCACCACGTCAGTGTTACTGCAGTGCTGAGAATGATCTACCACCCATATAGTACCTGCTCTGTGAGGGTCCATGGGGGTCCTGGCCACTGAAGAACAAGGTAAAAGGGGGCAGAGTATGCAGAGAAACAGATGGACTACAATCTGTAACTGTAGAACTACAAAGTGCACCTATATAGTAAGTGGAGCTGATAAAATGGACAATGAGCATAGAAACAAGGAGGTGGTCATAATGTTATGCCTGATCGGTGTATAATTTATCATAATTTTAACAGGATAACAGCAAGTGAAGCACAGAAATTTCATTTTCTGTGTATCTTAGGTTTGTCGCAAGTTCATCAATAGAGAGAATATTTTTATTTTGCTGTTTAAATTGTGTGTTTAGATTTATACCATTTGTAAACAAAGTAGTCTTAACAAAACTAAGGTAAGATGGGTGTTTTGCATTAAGAGACATTTAAAATGTGCTAGGAAACAAGAAATGTCCATACATTTGAAGCCACAATAATGAGTTTTGTGGATTTTACCATGGCAGAATTCACAAACTAGTTTTCAGCCCAGTGTTTGCCATTGTAATACTACCTTTTGCCCATCGCAAGCACTTTTAAAATATCATCACACCCTCACTCCTCTGAGACTGACAACCTCAAATAGTCTCACTCGGTCTGACACATTTATTCATGGTCCCAGATTAAAAAGAAAAGCGTTAAATATGCTTTCCCTGTAATAGGTGTCTTGTTTACCAGAAGGCTGTTGAAAGCAGCTGGTACACAAATTGATGCTTGTTTCTCATTTGCACAATATGTTTATAAATTGGTGCATATTATCTAAAACCATTTAACACATTTTGCTGTGAAAATGTACTTTTGCGTAATGTTTTCAGTTATGGATTCCAGGTGGATGCCAAAGTGTCACAGAATAGCACAGAATAGCCTTGTATGTCTGTAATATACTGGAGTGCACTGTGTACTACAATATAACCCATTGTATACAGGCATGTTTCAAGTCACCACAATAATAAGCTTTCTTTCGTCTTTGAAAGAGAAATGGCATGTAAGGAGCTTTAGAACAGCCTGGCCTCTGTTCAGATGACTCCATTGTGAGCTGTTGTGTTGTGTGCCACTGTTAGGATGATAATGCGTCTGCCTTTGAAAAGATTGCGGCAAAGCGTGAAAGTGGTTTTGGATTTGTTTTGTGATGCTGTTTAACCTTACATACTCATCGCTGAAAATGATGTTGTTCATAGTATATAGTTAAGAGGTGGCTGAGGAGAATATACATTACTGTGCAAAAGTCTGAGACCACCCTTTATTTATTTCCAGTCAAAATAGCCACAAAACAGCTTGGTATTTTGTAGTAGTTATTATTTCTGAGGAGATTAGATAAAATATTTACGTTTATTAGGTATTAGATAAGTTTATTAGGTATTAGATAAAGTATTAGATATGATGATGTTAGATGTTTCCAAAACATGTTCAAAACGTTATTTAAAGACACAGAGAAAATGTGAATCCTAACAACTGTCACCATCAAATAAATAGTACTTAAATCTTCCTTTAGATTTCAAACAGTTCACGGGTGTTACTGTCTATTTTTCCAATTGAGATGACAGCTCAGTGTTGTGTGTCTGAAAGGATGTGTAGCTTCCAAGAAACTGTTACTGAGAAAATGACTAAGAAAATAGACAAAAAAGCAGATTTCTTCCCTGCAGATTTCTTTGTAAAACTGAAAGCAAGTCTCCTGAAAAGAATAGAAGGTGTAATAAAGACAAAGAATGGACATGGTAAACATTGAAAATATATATATATATATATATATATATATATATGTTAAGCTGTTAACATCTAAAACTGGTAGCACTGTGACCAACAGTTACTGAGTGCTTTTGGTATTCATTCATATGTTCATTCATACATTTAGTCAGACATTCATTCACTCTATTTATGGGGTGAAATATTTTTTTCAGAATAGTTTGATTCACAAGCAAAACTGTTATAGCTATGCAGATATGATGGTCAGGTTTGTTATTCACTGAAACTTAGAAAGTATAAACACAATCATTGCATTGCACAATAACAGCTTATAACTAATGTACTGTAAACCTTACTTGCATTGATTTTTCCATTTCTCTCCAGCGTTCTGAATACATTGTGTGAGGCTCTGTAGTGTGCAAAGCTCACAGCCCCACTGTATTTTGTAGAATTGTTGTCATGACAAATAGCATTTTACACCCTTTTATCAGTAGCTAAAGGTGCTCTTTGAATCACACCTACTTTCACCTCATATAGCAGAGCTGAGAGCTTTGGCATTTCATCTCCCTGAAGTGTTGCGCCACTGCTACGCTAACATTGTGAACACTGAGCTACTTCGCAGAGGAGAGCAATGTGGTAGTGATTTTTTTATGCTTTTGCTGACCTTATTGGACACGGGCAGAGCTTAAGTCAAGGTGAGGTGAGGACGCAGCATGCACCACTGAGCTTTTCCTAGAAAGCAGTTGGGGAGTCTGGAAATCAGGTTTCAAGCAACTCAAATCATGTTTGCTACAGCTTTGGCATCTGCTGCACCACTGCATGGGTGAGTGTTACCTGTAAGCACCATGTTTTTAGATTTATCTACTGACTTTTTACTTGGCTGAAGGAATCTCCAGCTCCAACGTCTACATAATACTGGTACTGTTTTTTATACTACTTTATATCTGTTAAAAAGCCTTTGTTACTATGTAAATAGCCTGCATAATCCTATTTTTAAATATTTTTATTTATGAAAAAGGAAATGTTTAAAACATTAGATGTCATAGTGAAACCTTGCTAGTTGATTATGATTACTAAGAATTTTACAGAACAGATTAATAAATGTTTCATTGTTTGGTCAAGAAAACTATTCACAGTAGGGCTGGGCGATATTGCAAAAAAGTAATCATGCACATGGCAGCTGGGCAAACTCCGCGGGCGAAGACGCTACGCGACAGAGCCTCTGATTAGCCAGTAAAAAAGAGGCGTGTCATTAAACAAAGATGGACAACTTTGAGGAGCTTTGGCTTCGGCAGACACACAAATATTTCACTGTGAAACATGCATTTGTTAAATAAACAATGAATACCTCCTAAATGTAAGATGCTAAGTCTGTTATTCGGTAATGCTAACTAGTACTGAGCACCAAAACATACAGGTTACCTTATATTTAGGTTCACAAGAGGACGAGGCTGAAGTTAGCTTTCTGTTTCACCAGCTTTCAATTTTCCTGTTCCACCTTAAATGGTGGCAGTATTCTGAACTCAAACGTCGCCATAGTTAGAACTGTGAAAGAATAGTTCTCCAGCAGTCATGAAACTTTTCATAAAATAAAATTTCATAGCGTCACGTGAAGCATCCGCGACAGGCAACACGAAACCGCAGAAAGTGAAGGCGCTTTCAGCTTCACACAACTCTCAAGAATTTCGTTTCGCAAGAAGTACGCAGAGACCTTAACAGTGTTCCCAGCCGCACTGAAAACTCGCTCATATTCACTCATTGCTCCCATTCCACTGGGTGTTTAAAATCCGTACCACTGAACTGATGTTTCTACCTTTCTTTGGTACGAGCTTACTCCTCTGTGAAGTGAAGCCTTCGTCCATCTTGGAGTGTTTGTGTGTTTTTTTTTCTATTGTTTGCACCTTTGTGCGTGTGTGTAGATTCTGTTCTTACCTAAGAACAAATCCTGAATAAAAAAGCATTGGTGAATGTCAGAATCTTCGTAAAAGCTGGGTAAGTGGGGTTTAAGAAGAAATGTCTTCTTATGATGAATGGTTGGTGAATAGGGCCCATTGTTAGGAATGAACCAGAGATGGAAGAATCAGTCAGCTATGTATCAGTATCGGCCAATGTATATACACAGTACAAGTCAAAGGTTTGGACAGACCTTCTTATTAATGTTTTTTCTTTATTTTTATTATTTTCTACATTGTAGAATAATATTGAAGACATCAGAACTATAAAGGAACATATATGGAATTATGTAGTAAGCAAAAAAGTGTTAATCAAACCAGAATATGTTTTATACTTAGGTTCTTCAAAACAGCCATCTTTGGTTTTTTGAGCTTTGCACATTCTTAGCATTCTCTCAATCAGCTTCATGAGGTATATATATTGTTAAAACTTAAAGATTTTACAGCTTCCTTTGGAAATATGGTAGAATAGATGCTGTGTCTAAACAAATCAGAGAAATACAGAAGGAACTAGTATCCAAGGGTTGACATTTTCAAACAGT